CCATCACTTCCGTCCAGACTTAGGAACGCATTAGCCTATACTGCTTGCTCTGTCCTGCCAACCTGTTCTCCAGTGCTGGCACTTACACTTCATCTTTCTTTCTACCTGACTCTGCTCATATTGAAAGAGACTCTCAGATCCAAATGTTGTCACACATCCACAAGTCCAAGTGGTGGATCTGCATTTAAGACTCAGAAGATATTTTACTATGGTGCACAGTGCTCTTAAACCTTCCCAAACTTTGTAAATGCTGGTATCAGCAGTTTTAGTCTCATTCTTATCCCCTTGTATTGCTCTAGCTTTTATTACAACTGGCTTGAGGAGCTGAAGTGACTCCCCTCTCCTTTTGTGTGTTTGGAAAAACCCTGGCAATATATTTTATGAGATCAGTTAGCCAAAGAAGGTTGTGTGAACCTCTCAGTACATGGGTCACCTACAGGTATTGAGTTTTCTGCATACTTCTAGACCGTTTAAACTGTTGTTTCTGATTGTTGCTGCCCTTCTGCTACTATTGCACTTCCCCAGCCATACTGAACCAGCAGTTCTCTGTTGCACAGCAAGTCAGCCTCTCAGTGGAGCTCCAAAACTGGGAGGTCTAGGTACATTTTAGAACATTGGGTAGTAGTTACACAGTTCTACCAAAAAGCCATGCTTCAGACCTGCTGGGACACCATTACCTAAATGTATTGTTCAGTGTACAGTGCACAGTGGCAATACTATACCATAAAATGCCAGTCTTCAGACACTTTAGGTGTCTTTAAGTCACTCATATGGGCCAGGAGACCAGACAAAGAACTAAAGGCAACAGCCATCTTTCTAGATCTTTGAGGACACATGTCCCTCTAAAGCATCACTAGATGCCTGTTTTGAAGGGACAGAACCCTATACAAATAGACTCAAAGCCTTGTTTCTTCAATGAGACGTGATTCAAGTCCCAGTCTTGAGTGCTAGAATCAAAATTAGCCAAGAATGCTCTACTGTGGTCATTCCTTGTCCACCTCATCTAGACAAGATGAAATCCTGTGTTGTCCAGTTTCTGTTATTAATCCATGAGAACCCACATGGCACCCCCTCTTGAACAAATATTCCTGGTATCCCTGCTGTATGTTTTGCACCCACTTTGGTGTGGCAGTAGCTGCAGTAGCTCCCAATTCCTGAATATTCTCTGCTGATCCACCAAGCCTTCTTGGTACTTGGCTATTCAAGCTCTATTAAAATACCATCGTACTTCATGCCACTTGACTTGCCTCATTTTTTTCTGACATATTTTCAGTCTGGTTTTCATCCCCTTTATTTTCTTCATTGTCAAGCTAAGTGTGCCTTTTGACCACACTGGTTACAGGCATCTCAAATAATCCCTGTATTTTCTATTCTGCATATCTCATGCACCATTGTTCAGAAAGGCTGTGCTTGAATGAACTGAACAATTCCACTGTCTCTGTGTCCTGTTCTCCACAGCAGCAAAAAGCAGGTGACTGTGCAACAAGAGAATAGATCAGGCCCTATAAGTTACTGTCCTTCAGTACTTCTCCAGTTTCCAACAGTTTATAGGCCAGACAAATCATAAACTACAGCCAATGACTACCTAATAACTTTACAAAGATTTGTCTTCCTTGAGCTACCCAGTATTCTTCTTGAAACCACATACATTTCCAGCATTCCTGACATCCTACAGAATGGATGTCCACTCCAAACTGCAAACTCAATGGAGAACCATCTGCTTCATTTGTATTAGAGCTGCCCGTGAATACTTCCATATCATTACACTGGATTCTGCAGTAGAAAAGACAGCGAGAAGTCAACTCCTATTCATCTTCTGTAGGCAACCATTTATTCCTTCCCCTAGTTTCATCTAGTATTTCAAGAAAATCTTAGTACAGTTTTCATTTAGCTTGGGTCATAGAAGTTTCTGTGGTTTTACTGTTTTTCCCCATTTCTTGTCATTATCTGTGAAGTACACTTGAAGGAGAATGCACAGAATCAGAGAAGAAATGTAAAGTTAATGCCATGGAACAGTTGTCAAAACCTAAAGGATGCTAAGTCACAGATATGATCTCCAGCATTAAGTACTGCATATGCAAAGAGGAGCAGAAAATAATAGAAATTTTATTTCTGCAGAACTGTTCCAGTGTGTGGGTGGACAGTCTGAATTCTGATTTCTGATTCTCTGAAATCTCAATCCCCTGTAACCAAGGCCTCATGTCATCTCTAGACACTATCAAAATTGGGGCCAAACCTCCTCGATTGCTGGAAATGGGCATGCCTGAAGTATGGTGTGCCTGCATCCTGAAGTTTCTTGTGAAGCACTAGCAAAGATGAGTGGTTTTCTGCCTGCCACACAACACACAGTGTTAGTGAAACAAAAAAAATTAAAGTTTTTGAGAAATTTTCTAAAATAGGCAGGAGGCATCAGGCTATGAAAGCAAAGCACCTTTAGCTCCGCAACAATTTGCCTCAAAAGGGCTTGTTTAACGTGAGGCAGTCAGAATATTTGAACTACTTTCCCATGGTCTTTTCCCTACATACACACCGGGTTTCATGAGAAAAGTGAAAGGCTGTGGTGGTCACTCTCTAAACTTTTGAACTCATGTATAAGATAAAAGTTCCCACTGAGATACCAGACTAGTAATTTTAATATACTGCTTAGGAGGTTACTTAAATGACATTTCCCCTGAAAAGACACTGTTACATCCTCATTACAACCTTGTTCTTCAAGTTATTAATAGTTACCATAGGCAGAGCATGTAGTTATGGAAAACCTTCCAGAGCTGAGGAAATAATGTCACTTTTATTCAGTAATAAAATTAATAGAATTATAAAATTAGACTTGTGCATAATTCAGGTTATTCCTAATATAACTTGGTCATTTTTAGCCACCTGTAAAAAGGGAGGCTGCAGCTTAATTGGAAAACTTTCTCCTTTTATTTTTTTTTTTTTGGTGTATTTGCAGTGTATGCAAACATGCTCTACTAAACAGAGATTAAACCCACTTTTAGTCATGGCAAAATGCAAAAGTATGAAACTACTACTTGCTTTAGGTTTGATGTCACACTAGAAAATTCCCTTCTCAGGGCCATAAGGAAGAGAACGGAAGAAAACAATTCTTCAGTTGGAGAAAAACCTCCCCAGACCTTCCGAGAACAGAGATACTTATTATTAAGTGGGAAAGGCAGTGCAAGAAATGGTACCCAGAGAAAGGAGTTTGGAGAGAGGAAAAGAAGCCCAGGGAATGGTATGTGTAATCCAAAACAAGCACTGACTGCTCAGAGTAATGCTCAGCAGCTCAAGAGGTGTTTCCCTGTTACTTTCAGGGGTGTTGGTGGAAGAAGACCTGCATAAGCCCGAAGTTTTTATCACTATAGCACTCATGTGAGTGAGTCAGCACTTAAGGTGTTCTACTTAAGAACTGATCTGGAGGCCACTAAGGTAATAGAGAAATTGATGTGACTCCTTTTGTCTCTCAGATTTGGAGAAACAGGTTCAGATATACAGAAGGAAAAATGCTCACCTGACGCAGTCTTGCAAAGCCAGAGTGATGATTTGAGCTAGCAGGTATATTGAGGAAGCCACATGAGCCTAGTAGCTGCTAATATGCTGAGATTTTGTTTGAAGCTGTCAAAGTGCTCACAAAACCTGGTATCTTTACAGACTGAATAAACAAATAATGGTCAGCACCCCTTTCTTCACAGGACCAAGCAATTACTACTCCTTTAAAAAAGGAAATTTTCTAAAGTGCATAGATCCCAAGCAGTTCCTACACTGACAGAAGCTTGTGTTAAGAGGTAGAAATTGAGCCACCCTTTCTTCCCTATTGCAATTTCCTAATATTTTCAGAAAAATTCAACCCCCTAAAAGAGACACTTAAGGTCTCTAAAAGAGACCTAAGGTACACTTATGAGGCAGATGTCCTGATTCCTTAGGCAGGCAAGGATAGCTGTCTGTCTCAACTTATTTCAGCCATGGGCAAACCCAGTGCATAAAATTTCTACAGGTTTCTTGAAAATTAGTAGCTTTTTAGGGAGCTGAAAATTAGAGCTCCCATTGCTATAAAACCAGAGGCATAATTCTAGTAATTTGTTGTTCTGTGAGTAAGCCCATCATCCTGTGTGGGTTTGCCAGCCAGCCAGGACAACAGGAGCTTCCACTATCCCTGCTGGACAGAAAAGACCATTTTTTCTCTCAGTCAAAACAATAAATCACACTGGCACAGAAGGCTAGATGTCTCTCATGTTAAAGACCTAGAAGGGAAGGAAAGATATACGGCTAATTGGAAAATGACAATCAGGAACCTGAATGCACTGATAGATTCTGCAATCTCTTGGTATCCAGTGGTTTGGCTGCCTGTGTGAAAATCCAGCGCTGCTGTGATACAGGCTTTTTACTTGGGTCTGCTGTGTAGAAGCTGGATGAAAAGGGCTGTGACAAGTCCCATGTGGTATTTCCAGCTACACAGCCTTCACCCCTTTGCTTGGGAGCTACACTGATCCTTCCCTAAGCTGCTCAGTAGGTATGCTTATGCCCATAAATATAACCATTTATCTGGCTAGCCCTGACCATGTATCTGGCTAGATTTGAGACCTACCTAGTCACTGTGAATCTGTCTGTCCATCAATGGATTCTTGTTGGATTCTGAATACTGAGTCCTTCTTCAGGTGGTCCCTGCCAGAGAGATCCCTGCCTGTGCTGTGCTCACCCTTAACTCCTGGATTTACTTCCCTTGTGAAACCATCCCCACCTCTTGCTGCTCTTTTGACAACAACAGAGCAAGAGGCATTGTGAAAATTTCCCCTTTTCACCTCATTTATTCACCTCATTTATTCACCTCATTTAGCCAATGAATAGAAAGGTCTTTTGAAAGGTGGAAATATGGCGCACATCCTCCTCAGGTCAGTCTCTCTGGTTTTCTCAACATTTCCCTGAAGCGTACAAGTCTTTTTGTGTTTACACAGTAGAAAATTTATTTACTAAAAAAAAAAACCAAACATAAATGTCCATAGAAATACAGAATAAAATGGGGAAAACAACATTGTTTTCATGAGGTTTACAGCTGAAATCACAAATTGGGTGTTAGTGGGGTTCATTGCTAAAGGATTCTGTGAGTATAAAAAGCTGGCATATATTTAAAGGGAGAATAGTTAGGTATTTGCGTGAGACTAAGTGGAAAAATTCCATTATGTTCATGGATTTTCCTGAGCAAAAAATAGCAGGAAGATGGGAATTCTCAACCAAAAAATCAGATATTTGCTCAGCTTTGTACATGTTCAGAAACAGGCTGCTCAGCTAGGGGGAAACTTCATCTGAGGTAGCAGTGATACACCTATGTTCCCATATTATTATACTTAGATTTGCAGCTGAGAAATTGAATTGGTGTGCAGAAGGAGGCACATCTAGTAAAACCGAATCAATTACAGTCAAAAAAAAGAACAAAACAAAACAATTTTTTGTGCTAAATTGGTATTGCAGTGGAAAAATTCTGATCATTTTTAACAGCTTGAACAGCAGACAGCAAGCACAGCTTAGCAACTGTGATCAAAATGCTTGTCTTTCAGCTTCCCCCTGAGGATAAAAAAGTATGTAAATAAGACCAAATTATTAGTCATGGCTAAATTACATAAACTGTTTTAAGAGTACCCCATTGTCCCTTCTAGGGAGACAGTAATTCCTGTTAAACTGAAAGACCTGTAAAAGTAGTAGGAACACACTGGAAGGCAGAATATCACTCTATCACCAGTTTTTCTCATCAAGGGCAAACTGAATTGGCCATTGCTGTCCTAATATAAGCCTGAGGCTCCTAAATCACTGCTCCCTGCTGTCTGTGCATTTCATAAACACCTGCAATTAAAAGCAATATGGAGATTCAAAAGAATAATAATTTAGTCTTCAACTGTCATGTTTTCACAACTGAGTTTCATTTCTAATGTATCCCACTCACAAAAGCTCATGTAAAACCACAGTGGTCGCATAATTATTTGTGGTATTTCCACAGACATTCATCATAATTCTCCTTAGCAGCAGGTGGAGCATTATGGAAGGTCACCCACCAGGAATTCCTGAGTGGGTGCTGATCCTGGAGGAGGAACCAGCTCCCAGCTGAGGGACTGAAACTAGCAGACAGTTTGCTGAGCATTCACTGAAGTCTCCCAGCAGCAGGAGCAGTTCCTCAGCACTGAGTTCAGCTCTGCCCTGTTAAGCAACATTTCTCTTTCTGGCCCTGCTTCAAGGTCACTTGAAAGTCAAGCTGGGAAACAGATCCCATGTTGGCACCTCCTGCTCTGCCTTGTCCCTGTCCCCAAGATCTGCTCCACCTGAGTCCAAGCAATACTAGAAAGAATACAGCACCCAGCCTTGATTTAACTTGCTGTGTGATTTCAGTTGCCATGAAACACCATGAGGCATTCTTTCCTAGGAGAAAGCAGACAAAAAAACAAGATTAAGTGTTTTGAGACAGGTAGCAAGACTAAAAAGCACAGTTTGAAGGTATAAGAGTTTAATACCTCTTATCGTCTCGGATTCCCCTAGGGGCTCTGTCTGCTGTGATAGCACAAAAACACCCTCAAAAAATAAGTATGGGAGTAAACAAAATCACTGTAGCAACTTTTATGTCAATGAAGGAAGAAAAGGAAAATTGTCCGCAGTGGTCCCAAGCTGAATCAGTTATCAGGTAATAGCTAATATTAATAATAATTCACTTTCCAAATTTACCTTTTTAGAAATCAGCATGGGTATATGTGTGAGTGTGCTTGTGTGTGTTTTTCTGTGTGCGCCAATACACACCTAACTAAAAGAAGCAAGAGCACAGGATTTGGTAGGTGGCAGCACAGATGCTCAGCTGACTTACGAGCAGGCACGCCTGAAATAAGTTTTCAGAGGAAAGCTTTTTCTTCTACATGCCCCACTGTGCCAACCCCTTTTGGAAAGAACTGTTTGTCTTTTTGGTCATTTGAGATTAGCTCAAATGGTTAGAGCATGGTGCTAACAATGCCAAGGTTGTGGGTTAGAGCCCCATATGGGCCATTCACTTAAGAATTCGACTCAATGATCCTGATGGATCCCTTCCAACTCAAGATATTAGTGAGATATAACATTATTTTCTTACAAGAAAACAATTTTATAAAAATATTTTATTATTATTATTACCTTTATTAGGTAAAAGCTATTCTCATGAGAACTACCTCCACAACATGCAGTGGTCCTTTGGATCAATACATCCCCCTTTTGCCTCAGATACAGTTCACCTTCCTCAAAGGTTTGATGATTTATGGATTATGTTAGCAATCTGTTCAGCTGGTAGTTTCCTGACAGGATCAGACCTCTGTCACAGCACCTCAGACTGCCAGTGCCACAATTAAATTACAACATTATATTTCTTGCTGTAATCAAGCCTACCTGCCCAATATTAAATCAAGTCACATCACTGTATCTTTTCTTTATTAGAAATATCCTCATTTTTAGCTTCCATAGAGACATAAAAGTAATTCAGTTGTTCTGCTTTAAAACTCCTGAAAACATCTTGATTTCTAATCTCAGATGAAGGCAAACACATTTTCTAGGGTTGTTTTCTCTTCATAGAAAATTAAAATCTAAGATATTCTTGGTGACTTTCTTTCTTTCTTTCTTTCTTTCTTTCTTTCTTTCTTTCTTTCTTTCTTTCTTTCTTTCTTTCTTTCTTTCTTTCTTTCTTTCTTTCTTTCTTTCTTTCTTTCTTTCTTTCTTTCTTTCTTTCTTTCTTTCTTTCTTTCTTTCTTTCTTTCTTTCTT